AGTACCGCCCTGGGTTGGGGAGTACGGCAGGGTTGCGGGGAGGCGGCTAGCAGCAAGGCCAGCAGGGGTGAACAGTTGGGCTGGGTCACCCCACCCAGCCCCGACCTACTTGGCCAGCTGGATGAGTGCGATGACCAGCCAGCGGCCCACTTCACCCCACACCTTGGAAGCGCCCATCTCCATAAACACCTCCACGCACTCCAGCACGCTCAGCCATGTCAGCAACTTCTGCTGGGACAGCGACTACAAGAAGCCCAGCCAAGAGGTCAGGAGGCTCCCCAGTCCCAGGCCCTCCCACCACAGGGGCTCCTCTGAGCGATGTGGCTTTCCCTTTCCAGGCCTGAGTGTGCAGGCCTGAAGTCAAACGCCATCTCCAGCACTAACAGGCTGGGTGGGCGTGGGACAGACCCCTGTGCATCTGACGCTCAGCCTTTTCCTCTGCGTGGGGACATGAGCACTTCCACACCTCACCTAATGGGGTGGTGTGAGGCTCGTCGGACGCAGGCCTGTCTCACACTCTAGGAGGCCACGTGTGCTGCACAGGTGCCTAGCTGTGACTACCCCTGAGTCCTGCTGCTCCCCTCCCTCTGCTCCCGGCAGCACTCTCACCACCGGCAGCTTTTTCCGAAGCTCCTTCCGTAGGATGCTGTCGTTGAGCAGCACGAGCAGGTTGGAGGCAGAGTACACTAGGGGAGAAGTGTGGCCTTGAGAGGTGAGCGCTGCACACTCCACCCTCACCTTCTCCCCAGAGCCCCAGGGACCACCTATCACCTGCAGAGCTCAGCCACCCCCGCGCTATGTGGAAACCAGCCTGCCTCTCCACCCACCCTCAGTACACCACATTCCCCAGTGTGGCTATCAGGGCAGCTGGGCCAAGAAAGGAGGGTGGACAACCAGCTACTGCCCTGCCAGATGGCACCAGTGACCCAGCTGCCCCGAATGCCAGCATGCTTCAAACAGCCACGGATGTGCGGCCCCAGCTCCCGGTCTCTGCCTCTTCCCCAAAGTCTGTGCCATCTCATCTTTCAAAACCCAGCTTGTGCTTTCAGGGCCCGCACCGCAGGACTCACGGGGCACCTTACTGAGGCAGCGGGCCAGAGCCAGGCATCTGGGCGCTCTAGTTTGGGATCTTGGCTTGGGGATCATCAGCAGCTGTCGCCTAACCTCACTGAACCTCTGTTCCCATAACTGGAACTGGACACTGGGAACAGCAACTAACCCACCTCTTATGATTACACGGAGATTATGGGGCAAAGGCGGGTAAGGTGCTTAGCCCAGCGTCTGACCGGTAGTGAGCACTCAGTCAAGGTCCCCAGGCGCATCTCCACTACCGGACATGGAGGGATGGACAACTGGCCTTTGCACGACTCGAGTCACGGCACAGATAATCTAACGGGCAGCCTAGGACCTCGAGTCAGTGGTCATCCCCTCTGGGAAGCCCTCCGGGGCCCAGGCTGCCCCCGCCCACCCCAGAGTCCGGCTCACCCAGCTCTGACAGCTCGTGAGAGTCGGCGAAGCGACCTGGGGAGAAAGTACAGAAGGCGGCGTCGGTGAGCTCCTGTCTCACCTTGCGGCTGCGGGTCCCTCGACGTCCCCTCCCAACGCCCTCCGGGGACGCGGACGCTACTTCTCAAGCACGGCGATACCCTGACTCCGCAGGGACTAGAACCACTGGGGTCATAGGTCAGGGCCCCGAAGGGGTGGGTCAAAGGTCAGGGTGGCACCTGCCAGCAGGTAGCTGAGGCCCCGCACTGCCGTCTCCAGCTGGGCGGTGGCGGCCGGGTGACGAGTCACGTACTCCTGGTAGCGGAGGCCCAGCAGCCGCAGCTTCTCCATCCTGCCCTCAGCACCGACAGCCCCACTGACCGACAGTACGCCGGGCTGCGGCGCGCCGCTTCCTGCGCCCTCCTTCCTGCTTCCGGCCTTAGGCCCGCCTCTCGTCTGCTCGACTTCCGCGGGCCGGAGGGAGAGCGACGGGAGAAGCCCCAGGACCAACCTTCCCCCATTGCATAAGTCACCTCCCCCTCAGGTAGCGCTTAGCAACTGCGGGCCTCAGCCCGCCCTCGCCGCTCCTTCAAATCATTGGCTAACACGCCCTCCGCCCCCGAGCTGGCCAGCGCCGCGGGGCGCCCACTGTGCCGTCTTCCGGGTCGGGGCCCTGGCGCCTGCGCAGTCCGGGCTCCGGGACAGCGCCGCCGCAGTCCGAACAGTTTATTCTAGAGAAGGGATCAGGAGCCCCGAGTCTTCCCAGTAGAACGCCGAGAAGCTCGAACGGGAGGCCTGGCTCTTAAAGGGCACGCAGGTAGTCTGATCTGCGCCTCGATCAGACCCGGAGGCTGTGAAGTGTAAAGACGAGCGGACCGTGCAGCGGAGGCTGTTTGGCCAGGCGCTCCGTCTCTTGTGCCCCACCGGAGAGGTGTGGGAAACGAGGCCGTAAGGCCAGCCTTCCCTACCAGCACAGTGTCGGGCTTTGGCACTGGTTCCGCAAGCCCTGTGCCTGCGAAGAGCGCGCACCTGCATTCCCACCTCCGCGAAGACCCTGGCCCGGGCTTCTGCTCTGCGCTCAGGGTGGGAAGTTTCCCTTCTCTGGGCCTTGGGTTTCCCTATCTGTAAAAGGGTTTGCGGGCTAACTCGGTCCTTGAACTCAGGATCCATCTCCGAGCTCTCTCAGACTCTCTGATGCATCTCCGGGTCTTCAGTTGTGCCCCAAGGGGTGGGAACGATTCCTGGGAGATCCCCTCTGAATGGCTGGGAGGAGTGGGGACAGGAGAGCAGTGGCCAGAGGTAGAGGGAACTGGCGCCCCGAGGAGGTACGCTGATTGGCTGTAAAAGCATGGGTGAGAACTTGTGACCGGGGTAGGGCCCACAGATTTACAATAACCACAGTGTAATAATACGTTGTGTTGTTATTATTCTTCCGTGAGCGAGAGCGAGAGAGAGAGAGACAGCACCCCCAGCAGGGTCTCGTGCCATAATCCAACCGCAGCTTCAGCCAGCCCCCATCAAGGGTACATGTGTCGTCCACAACAGCTTCCTCCAAACTGGAACCCGTGCCTTGGGTCAACATTGCAGAGCACCGTTTTACTTGTGTGCCTTCGTTTACTCCCAGGAATACGTGATTTTACCTAATTCCCCCACCAGATAGCGTCTCTGGATGAGGGTTTAAAAATGCCTAGTCTGGGGGACCAGCAGTGGTGTGCTGGTTAAGGCGCTGGACGTTCCCATATGGCCAACCGCGGTCCGAGTCCCGGACCTGGTGGCTTGCTTTCTCACTTTCTCTCTCTTGCTCTCTGTCTCTCTCTGGTCAAATTAAATGAATGAATAAATAAAATTAAATAAGTAATGC